GGGGTTACCACAGTGGTTGTGTCCCTTCCCCTTCCCCCCTACTTGGCACCCAGGATGGAAACCACAGGGTTTCTTTCCTCCAAATGTAACCAATATATACATATATATAATATAATATAATATAAAGCACATGCTTAATTTTGTAACCAGGACACGAATATACAAATATATACTTGGATTTTCTTAGGAAGTGAACTTTTATTATAATATATATAACGGGTAGTTAAGTCACAACATTGTCATGGAAAAAAAATTGACACTCTAAAGAATTGATAAGAATCAGTAGCCCTGAAAAAAGAACAGAACTTCAGAACCACTTTTACAGGTCAAGATGTGTACCTGATTGCAATGCCCATCCACCACATGACTAGACGACATTCCATGTGAGAGTTCATATGTAGATAATATATCCCTTAAAGTGCTGCTTATATTGAGCTCATATAGAGTCCTGAAGGCTACAACTGAACCAGAAGAAAGTTTTCCAAGTAGCCCTATCAAACCCTACCAACCAAAGTACATTAGTCAGAACATACTCCAAGGCAGTAAAATACAAAAGAGGCGGATCTCAGGAACATGATATTGAATGCCTACATTACAAATTGGTTGGGATAGAGTTGTTCGGTTATTCAAGTTCATAAAATGCGTGACTTGACGAATCAGCCCGTGCTTACAAAGTTCATCCAGCATCTCAGTAGACTGACTCACTCGTTCTGTAATTTTAATCAAGCAAACAGCAACATTTTCGACAAGCTGAGAAATTAAAACAAAACTCTGAGTTAGAAGGTCATCTGAAATCTATTTAAAAGCCACAAAAACACACTTCCCAGTTCGTACCTGAGGATCCTCGTACTGGAGAAGATTGCATAGTATAGGAACAGCCTCCATGAAAGGTGAAGGGCATTCAGAAGGAAGTTTCTTACAAACGTTCACCACCGTGGAAAGGGCAACTCTCTGATGCAGATAAGATATAAATAATATAGGAAAAAAACTATTTATTACAAAACAAAATCTTCTTCCATGAAGATAACAACACCAATTTCCAATCAAGAACACATCAGAGATTGAATTACCTGTATGCTTGTCGAAAAGAAATCAATATAATTCAGAACAGCCATTATTGCCCCAGCCTGTAAGCACGCAAGTGGTTGCTCCCGTGACATTTTCTCCAATGCTTGTAGACACTGCATAAGAACAATAAAAGAATCCCATGTATCCCCCAATCTTACATTGTATAAACAATACCATAAAGATCATGCATTGATGACATAAATATGACCATGTAAAGCAACATTACCTGCTCAGCTACATCCAAGTATTCAATAGCCATAAGTCTTTGGCAAAGAGCTGGAACTGCATCGTGTCGGACAAGGAAGGCCGATGATCTAGGATGCACATCACATAAATAAGTTATAGCTCTTATAGCCAATAGCATGATATCTGCGTTAGTCTCGTGCCTAGCGAGACGAACAAGAAGCGGTGATAATAAGTCTGATGTCATCCCGGATAGTGAATCCTCTGTACAAAATGATAGGACTTCACATAGCTCGGTAAGCACAGCTAACTGGCCAGAAGGATCAGTCTCTTCACTTAAAGATGATAAGATCCTCTTAAACTTTCCATGATCACCCGAAGATCTCCGTCTCTGATAGTCCCGGAGTTCACTGTGTCTAGGGTCTGCATCATCAGAATCACAAGACCCATATGCTGAATCCTTCTCATGTTCTCCCTCGGACCGGCTAGACGCTGAAGCAGAGGATGTAGTGTCCATATCATGGTCATTGGTTTCAGGTGTGGAGTTCATAGAATTCATATGGGTTTGAGCAGAAGAGTTCGATGAACTCGGTCTAAACTCCAAAGAACTACATGCTCGCTTATCCGCCGGCAATTCATCGTCAACCTCAGTACGCTTTTGGCCACGACTTGCCATTTATAATTCAACCTTTAACAGAAATCCAAAATATATCTACTCCTGCATGATCAGAGCATGAACTCGCAGACTGAATCACCTTAACTCTAGTTCTAAAACTGGGTTCAACCCAGAAATCCAATTCAGAATTACCAAACAATTAAAATTTTAAACTTTAGCATTAGAAAACACCTAAAACAGAGAGCAAGAAGCTTATATATTCTAATACAGTAACATCGAAACCCAAATACAGATGATCGTCAAAAAGCACCCAGATGATCATCAAAAATCTGGAAGCAAAATGTATTTTATTTATGTGAAAGCTTGCATTTTTATATCATACCTGACGCTCTCATGTTCACTGGCAATAGAAATTGTGCAAACACAGACTCATCCAACAAAACCGACTCATAAAAAAAATATCCAAACAAAAAAGAAGATAAAAAAACAAAACAAGATTTGCGTGAACACAAACACATCATCAGTGTTATATAGATGTGAATATGAGTGTGCCTGTGTATTTATCGAAAATGATAATTTATCAGAATTGGGAATTGTGGTCGTTTAATTGTACCTGAGGTGCTGTAGCTGATGATGTTGTTGTGGTTGCTGTTGTTAATCGGCCTTCGAGGGAGTCGAAGACCTGAATTATAAAGGAAAGCT